TCAAGCCCCGGGAGAAAAAAAAAAAAAAAAAAAAGATGTTTTCAGTGAGACGCTGTATAATAATAATAATAATAAAATATTTACAACACAATCCAACAGTGAGTGAGTGGCTGTTTGTTCATTTGTACCTGAGTGTTAGTGTTGAGCTGCTGGCTCTTCCACGTTTCTTCTGCAGGACTTGGACTCCAGGTGCTGTTGGTACTCGGCTGACCGGCAGCTGTGCGGTTGTGAGGTAGAGAGTTCGGCTGCAGGTAAGGCACATTTCCGTTGCTCGCGTCGCCTCCTCCTGGTCCCTGCGTGTGATCGGTACGGTTTTCCATCTTCGCCTCTGAAGGACTGGAAGAGCAGGAGCCATTCGAGGGGCCGGCGTGGTGATGGTTAAAGGGATCCGCCGAAGGACCGTTAGGAAGACCGGGTCGAGGCTGGCCACCCGCTGCTGCCTGCCGCTTCATTGGATGTAGCCGAATTAGACACAAGCAAATGTGTATATTTGCAGAATTTGACCAACTATAACACTTTAAAAAAAAAAAAAATACCTTCTGCTGCAATGATGACATCTGTTTCTCCAGGTGTTCCAGCATTTGAATTTGTGGAGGCTTGAGGTTTGAGGGTTCATCCTTAAGTGATCCAGGAGCTGTAGGTTCAAAAACATGCGTGTGAGTGAGCTAGGCTTTTTGAGTTATTTTAAAGTACAAATGTATATATATAAATGTTTTAAAACATTTGAATCTGAAGCTTCTGTGGTGACAGATAGCAGCTGGGAACCTGGTCCTGGTTTTGCTGAGGTTGCAAGTCTGTGATGCTCTTGAGAAAACCAGAGAAACAATTTGACAGTTGACGTCAACCGAATCTTGGTTTTTTTTTTTTTTAAATCACAGTTAATATTAGGCTGATGGTACCTTGATTGGACTTGCAGTGCGTTTCCTCTTAGCAGGACTGAGCGGCCAGTCTGCGTTATTAGGGTCTGGTTCAGTCCCCTCTGCCTTACAGTCCTGATAATCAACAAGGACATAATTACAAAAAAAAAAGACGCTAATAACTTTTCACACACAGACCACTTTTGGTGACGATGAAAAATGTAGATTTTAAATGTAAATAAATTGAGATTAAAACCAAAAAACATCTGGCATCTGGCGTCACTTTTCATAACCATATATACATACACATATATATACATATACATATATATATATATACACATATATACATATACATATATATACACATACATACATATACATATATATACACATACATACACATATATACATATATACATATATACATATATATACATATATACATATATATCACCCAAATTTATTATCAAAAACAAAGAAAATAAAATTACAAATATAATGTTTTTTGTACAAAAGCACTTCAAAATTTACTTAAATGTAAATAAATTGAGATTAAAACCAAAAAACATCTGGCACAGCGTCACTTTTCATAACCATATATACATACACATATATATACATATACATATATATATACATATACATATAGATACATATATACATATACATATACATACATATACATATATACATATACATACATATACATATATATCACCCAAATTTATTATCAAAAACAAAGAAAAATAAAATTACAAATATAATGTTTTTTTGTACAAAAGCACTTCAAAATTTACTTAAATAAATAGTAAATAAATTGAGATTAAAACCAAAAAAACATCTGGCACAGCGTCACTTTTCATAACCAAAGCTTTTGGTGACCCTGAGTCTGACTCTCACCTGCTGTACCTGTGCCGGGTTCAAGATCCCCTGTCTGGACGTCAGCTCAGCAGGGATGGGGAGACTCCAGGCCTCCTCAATGCTGGGAAGCATTTTAACTTTTTTCTGCAGATTACCTGGCTGCGAGTTACACAGCTGAGCCTGAAGACATGGATTTAAAGCACAACGTCGGTCATAAAGAGATGAAAATGACAACACAAAAACCTCGTAAAAAAAAAAAAAAAAAGTGGCCAAATCTTTGGACCTGCAGGAGTTTAATGCGTTGCGTGAGTGCGATTGTGTTGAGGCAGCCCCTGCTGTGCGTGGCATTGACGTAGCACTTAATGGCATCGTGGGACTGACAGCAGGACTCGTACAGAGTGCCCAGGTCCATCCAGGCAGCAGCGTGACTGTTGTCCAGCTGAACGGCACAGATATAGGCCTGCAGTGCATCCATAGGCTGGTTCTGCTGCTGGTAGAGAACCCTGAAGTGAGAGGAGATCACAGCAGAAGAAAAGCAAGAAGGAGAGGAGGAGGAGAGAAGAGGTGAGTACAGGAGAGGAGTGGAGATGGATAGATGGAGGAGATAGAGAAAAGGACGTAGAGCAGGAGAGTGAATAGGAAAGGAGAGGAGAGGAAGGTAGAGGAGGTTCCCCCGGTGTAAAGGACCAAATTTGGAAAATGCTACTGGCCCTGTAGCTGTTTTATTCTCACAAAACGTACAATAACAACAACAGGCTTGGCTATTTGTCCTTACCCTATGGAGCACCAAGTGTCTGCACTGGCCTCTGACTTGTCAATGGATTGACGGTACGAGATGAAGGCATCCTGCACCTTCCCAATACTGGAATAGCACCTGGAAGTGGATGGGGGGGGGGGAGGAGGAAAAATAGTGAACAGTTAGCAGTTAGTTCCTGCATTTATATGATTTTATTGAAATATATATTTTTATATTTTTTCTACATGTATGTAAATTAGGTATGCACAGAAACTAAAATTCTTGGCCGAAACGGAAAATGAGGGAAACCCGGGCTGAAATATATTATTACGCCAATTATTAGTAGCATTGCATTTATGGCTACGACTGTGAACTAAAACTCAATAAAAAAAAAAAAATCAAGGCACTGCGATTGCATAAATGAATAATAAATAAATAATAAAACGAATAATTGTCAAAATAATCCATTTTCAAATGTCTAGCAGAGACAGAACAGAATAGCCAACCTATTATTATTATTATTATTTGAAGCACTTGCAGAACATATCATAGCGGGCTGTCTGGATCATTTTTCTCGTGCGTGCTGCTTTATTCCCAAATCCAAGTAATGATCTTTATAACGCGGATCAAGTACAAAAAAAAATGTTTCAAACTTTGGACTTTTGTTGTGGTATTACCTTCCAAGAAAGTACCACGACTGTCCAGAGTTTGGGTCTGCCTCTATTGACTTCTGCAGACACTGGATGGCATAGCTGTCCTTGCTGCCTTTATCTCTGAACTGCTCCACTGTGTGATGCATCCAGCCTGGACGTGGAGCAAAGAGGAATATCATTAACAGACATCTCTGACTGGAAGCATTAGAAGGAGGAAAAGCACGTGCGCGAGTCATCAATCTGAATCCAATGATGTTAAGCCAATTCAGAATCCCCAAACAAATGAGTGATGTGCAAATGGACGGCACTTAAGGAAAACAAATGGCTTTTCCAATGACGGGGACAGGAGGACAGGAAAAGGGGGAGGGTAAACACACAAACTCAAAAAAAAAAAAAAAAATGGACAGGACAAAACACTCACCAGGAATACATCATCCACTTCTCTTAACAGAAGAAAAAAATTAAAATGTGATGAAATGCAATAGTTCTCCAAAGCAACAGAGGGTATGATGAAATTACTAAATTTCATCGTGCACTAAGCTAAAATGACTCAGTCAAGATAACTAAATGTTAGGTCAATAATTAGGTCAAGTCAAAAGCGCCTCATATTTATAACCATATAACCTGTTCATAGCCTGTACATTCACTACATTATAGTCTGTATATACTTATAGTTATACAGCATATTCATAACAATATTCATGTTTATATCTCCCAACATCTCATACATTGTAATATATTTTGCTAACGGACTTCTGGATGGATGCAAACTGCAAACTTTCGTTGCTCTGTACTTGTACTTTGTTTTGCTCTCCTGATATTTTAATGGTTTAAACAAAGTAAAGTAAAGCACCTTGAGTTTGCCTTGTGTATGAAATGTTCTCTATAAATAAAATTGAATTGAACTGAATTGTGACGAAATGTGCAACGACAATGAAGTTGAATTCTATTATATTCTAGTCTAAAGATATAGAGTCAAGACCGAACGTCGAAACAAGACTTTAAAACAAGCATTATATAGCTAAAACTAAATGAAGGATAAATTAATATACATGTATACATATATATACATGTATTCATATATATACACATGTATACATATATATACATGTATACATATATATACACATGTATACATATATATACATGTATACATATATATACATGTATACATATATATACACATGTATACATATATATACATATATACATATATACATATATATACATATATACATATATATACATACATATACATATATATACATACATATACATACATATATACACATACATATATATACATACATATCGCCCAAATGTATTATCAAAAACAAAGAAAATAAAATTACAAATATAATGTTTTTTTGTACAAAAGCACTTCCAAAAAAAAACAGGAGAAACTGTTAAAGGAATGGCAAAAGTTCCACTACATGTGAGCAAAAAAAAAAAACAGCACTCACCAAGTTGTTGCAGTGTGGTGGCCTTCACATGGGCTGGAAGATTTTCCGTTTGCAGCACACTTTCGTAGGCTTCTTTAGCTGCCTTATATTTCTTCTGAATGACAGAAGAATAGACAAAAAGTGGAGGAGGAAGAGGAGGAGGAGGAAGAGGAGGAGGTTTAAAGTGGACAGGAAGGTCCGGGGTAGGTTTTTATGGCTTTATCTGCACAGACACAAAGAAACCAAAAAAAAAAAAGACCTGGAGGACACACAGACACCCACCCACCCACACACTTAAGTGCAGACACTTAACGCTGCAGAAGTGTTGAGTCTGGCCCCTGTCTACGCTGACCCCTCCCCCCCGTGTACGTCCAGTCTCGGTGTAGTGTGGCAACCTGAGCCCCAGTGTTTGCTTTAACTTGAAGACCTCGCTGACCCTCAGTCTGAGCTGCTTCAGAGACGGTTGTCTGAGTGTCTGTTGTTTGTGTCTGTGGTGTTGCAGCCCATGTGGGAGGCCTTAGAACTCTTACCAGGATTTGGTCACAGGTACATACGACTTTACCAATGTCAAGTTTGGACAATTGATTCTGACACATTAAATCAATTCATATTTGTCAATAATGTTAGCTGTTATAAATATGTCCGTAATACAAAAGGCTTCCAAACTTTGTTTTTTTTTTCATGGCAAAGTACCAGGGAATAATTTCAGAGACCAAAATGATTATTATTTACTATGTCTCCCTGGTTTTCCAACATAGTTCAAAGTCCCCAAAAATTATACATAAATAGTTCCAAATTACTAATTACTTACTTAGGTGTTCTTTGTTATCTGTTCAGGAATTTAACTTTTTTTTTTTTTTTTTTTAAAGAATTATTTGAAGTTGTTTTAATCACATAAACAACAGGATGTTTCATTTGTACAACACAATGAAGATTTTGAAAAGGATCGCCTATATTTTCTGCGGTTCCGAGAGATTAAAAGCCACCTGACGTTTTTGACATGCGACGCAGAAAACAAAACATTGTTTTTTTTTTTGTTTGTTTTTTTAGCAACCTGCACTCAGGCTCTTCCGTGAAACGTGTGTGCATGTGTGTGCGGTGTCCTAATGCATTGTGGTTGATCTCCGCGCTTTGCAGGTCCAGCTTGTTTTTTTTTTTTTATTTGACCTTATCGTAAAGGGAGCAAGCAGAAAAAAAAAAAAAAAAAAAACACCAACTGACAAGGACAACGAAATGACATGCCGTAGAAAGATTGGTTCTTACCTGGATTTCATACAAATGAGCAATGTGAAACTGAACTGTGGAGAAAAACAAAAAAAAAGTGCAGAAAGAAGAAATTAGTTTTTCCTAATAGGCATGGACAAACCCGCAAACAGATGGGAAGGGTTCGAGATCACAGTTTGTACTTGTGACATGCTTTCAGTGTTCTCTAGCCTGCTCTCTGTATCCTTGTTTCCTTGGCAACCAGAGTCTTCTGCAAGCCGCTTTCAAACCCTTATATGATTGCGTTCGGACACATACAAATGCGTGTACAAAAAAAAACTTACTTGTAGCTTTGGACAAAGTGCATGGACCGGAGTGAATCAGCGCCAGACGTAAATGCTGCAGAGATGAGAAAAGACAGATTAATTTAGAAACCGGGGCTCATTGTAATGATTATTTTGGTCACGAACACGATTGACTTGACATGAAATGCAAATGTGACGTTCGTTTTAGCGTGAAGGGCCCTGACGGGGGGGACAAGGGATTGACGCGACGATTTTTACAGGTGCAGATGAACGTTTTGCGCATGCGTTCCATGTCGGAAAGCAGGGCAGCAAGCTCACTCTCGCAAGCTGAAGCTACGTAGCAGCCCGCTGGAGGCTAACCCTAAAGCCGCAATTCATTTAACAACTGACATTTGGACAATTTGGAAACGTGGGTATTGCAGGGAAAAGGCAGAAAATATAATGATAATATAAATAAATTGTATAATTTGGAAAAGTTTTGCGGGCCGGATTAAAAAAGCTGAACGGGCTGCATACGGCCCCCGGGCCTTATGTTGCCCATGGCTGCCCTACACCCTCCATAGTGCACTATATAGAAGAAACACCATGTGTAGTGAGGGGAGTTGTGCACGATATAGGGCACTCGAAGTATCCCACAATGCACCGCGAAATCTAGTGAACATCCGATGTACAGTAGCCAAGCCATATATCCCATCATGCATTGCCTTCACGACAACACTGCCCGAGAGAAGAAGCAGAATCTGCCCGCCCGTTTTAATTGTGCGACGGTAATTGCATAGTTAAAATCAACCCATTAAAGAATGGATATTTTTCGTTGACCTACAGCTCTGCAAATATGAACTGCAAAAGACGAGACGTGAGCGAGGATGTAATCAAGGTGACCTGATGCAGCTGCTAATAATGTAGGGGAAAAAAAAACTCACTACAGAACTGAATTTGTAATGTGGGTCAGAACGTGTTCTGGAACACCCCTGAAACCACTGGGACTGTCTTTGAGAGAGAAAGAAGAGCACGAGCAGGCGGAAGCAGCCGAGAAGCGCTAGGAGCAAAGAAAGAGAAGGTGGGAAAAAAAAAAAACATGGAGGAGAAGGCAAAGGAAGAGGAGGAACAGGTCAAAAGAGAAGCCGTGTGGTGATGAACGAAGTAGCAGAGAGGAGGAGGAAAAAGGGAGGAGGTGGTAAGACGAGGAAGAAAAAGGGAGGAAATAAAAATGATAAAATGAAGAAAAAAAAAAAAAGGGAAGAAAGGCAAGGAACAAGTAGCGATCAGAAAAAGACGACCGAGGAAGAGAAGGAAGAGAAAACTGTACACAGAGTCAGTCATCCACCGTGCAGCTCTCCCCGCTTCAACAAGGCTAGAGGGAGCTAACCGCCCCGCCGACACACACACGACGATACAGCGTTTCAGAATGGGCTTTAAAAATTAAGCAGCGACCAGTACACACCTCATCATCATCATCCTCATCATCATCATCTTGCACAGACGTTTTAATGTCACAGACACACACACAGACAGCAGTGTTACCTACATCCCAGTCAAATCACACTCTTCATGTTCTCCTGCAGATTTGCCCTCTCTTTCCTTCTTTGCTAACAGCAGCGGCAGAAAACACAGGAGCATCTGCCGAGCTCTCTCTAAAACACGTCTCTCTCTCTCTCTCTCTGTGTGTGCAGCTCCCTCTCTCCGTTATCTTCCTTGCACTCTCCCCCTGCACACATGCACATGTGCGCATGAATACAAACACACGACACACACACACACACACACAACCAGGTGGCTCAACGGCTCCAAAGTCTTTTGAGAGCAGTGGCCCAAGAGATGTTTGTATATGCGGTGTCACGGATTTTTGAAAATGTCAGCGGGAAAAAAAAATAAAAATAAAAATTGGAAATTAAATTAAAATAATAGAAAGCTAACAAGTAGGCTTTTTAAATAACCCCAAACAAGGTCACCTTCAGCAACAAAAAAAAAAATTAGTGAAAAATCAGGCAAAAAAAAAAGACACTTAAGAATTAGCTTGGATGAAGCACTTGACACAGATACCAAATGAAATCTGTGTATGTGTATGGGTAGCTGACAGTGTGCCAGAACAAGGCGGGAGGGAAGGGTGAAAGTGAGACCGAATGAGGACGTGCAGCATGTGCAGCCTACTTCAGCTTTATAGTGCACCACACACACACACCGCACGCGCACACACACAAACACAAAATGATTAATAAAACGTCATCGTCTCAGACAGAAGGAGAAATCAGAGATCATAACTGAATCTGGAAAATGATCATGACAGTCATTGGGATTAGTCATTCATAGAAGCAGGCAATACAATGTCAGTATTGCAGATTTCAAAAAAGGCAATATAAAAATATAAAAAATATATATTTAAATATATAAAAATATATAAATATATAAAATATATAAATATGAATATATAAATATATATAGAATATAAATATATATAAATATATATAAATATATATACAAAATATAAAAAATATTAAAATATTTAAAAAAGATTGCAATATACTGAAAGGTTGCAGGTGCACTGCAGCAATTATTACGTATGATTTCTAAATATAGAGCAGTTTTGCTTCTGTCCATTCGACACTTAATTAAGATTTACTGTGTTAATTTCAGTGCTTTTGTTTATTACTAAGTTGTTACAGCACTGTGCAGCGTAGAAAAACATCATCTCGGGTTGGAATCTTCTCACTATTTCACATGGAAGTCTGTAAATTATATAAAAAAAAAAAAATCTCTCTAATGTTCTAGTCTTCAGTTTGCGTGACAAGTCAATCGCAAATGACACATTAACTAAGTGACAAAGGGAGCAAGAAATGGCAGAAATAAATGATTAGCTATAAAGAGTGAAATCGTGTATATATATCTATGCATTTTCTTAACAATTTCTTAAGGATTTAAAGCAAAAGAAGCCTCTAAGCAGAGAAGCCCTTTGATCAGTTTTTCCCCCGGGATTTCTGGGCAATTTCCAAGCCAGCTAAGAGGTATAACACAGCTTCGGCTGCTTCGGAGCAGAGGAGAAAGAGAGCTACTCCAAAAAAAAAAAAAACTTTCACCCTATCTATAAGAGAAAACCCAGACACCCTGAAGAGGGAACTAATTTCTGCCACTTGTCTCCATGATCACGTTCTTTCGGTCACAACCCAAAGTTCATGACCAAAAATAAGGGTTGAAAAAAAAAAAAAAAAAAAAAAAAGGGTCGAACAGTAAAAAAGAGAGAACTTTGCCTTTCAGCTCAGCTTCTTCTTCATTACAACAGATCAATGCAGAAGGCCGCGTCACTGCAGATGCTGGGACAATCCACTTCTCTAACTCCTACCCCATTCTTCCCTCAGCTATACACATTTGGGCAAGATATCTTCCCTGACCTATAGAGGGCACCTTTGTCCAGCTGAAGACCATGGGCCCTGAATTTTTAGGTGCTGATTCTAAGGCCGCACTTGTATTAGGGCCAGTTGTTCAGTACTGTGATAAATACACCTTTAAACACCTCGGCAATCTCAGCTCCAGACAGCCACCCCAATAACGGAGGAAGGGACCTAGAATTGCCTCTCTTGGGACGAGGTTGAAGCGCTAACATTTTGATAGCAATTGTGCTGAAATGATCCAAAATTGCTATGTTTTTCCCCTTCCAGATTTGCTGCGTGTTTCCCCTCCAGATTTACCTTCAAGCTCGACTCGTAGTCTGTGTTTACTTTAAAGATGAGCCCCAGCCTCAGGTGAATTTCTTTGGCTTTTGAGAAGCCAGGGTCGATGTAAAGCACCTCCTGGAAGGCCTTGGCTGCCCTATAAAACAGACACAAAAATATATGCATCATTACATTCATACTTTTACTGTACATTGTAGTGTTCTTGTTTTCTTGTACTTTCTCTATGTATATTAGTACAGAGCAAGAACTGTTCAGTAAGTAAAAAAGAAACAAATAACCTAGGACATTAATAAGTTCTTAATAAATACCTTTCTTTTTTTGTACACATACAAAAACAGGCATCTAGATTTTCCCGTGACATGAGGAAACCTTGACAATTCCGTGACTGGAGTTGATACCCTGGAGTGTTTTGCACTACTAATGAAACAACATTGTTTGACCACGAGATGCCGCCATTGCCATAAAAAAACAACAACAACCCATGGCCATTCGTTTGTTTTCTATGAAAAGGCAGGAAGGGATAATCAGGTCCTCTGTGGAATTGGTAATGCTAATAAAAATGTATTTGTATTTCATACAACATGGCCAAAGAGAAGATGCCGTGAAGAACAATTTTCTATTTCAGTTTAGTAGAGCAGTTTAAGCAGAAGCACTTTTATTCGTAAATGTTTTTTGTTTTTTTTGGCATAATGTTTTAGTTGGAAATGGTCAATTTTATTTTTATTCTTATACATAATTGTGTTTCAAATAAAGACAAGCATTTCTTTACACCTTTTTCTTGTTATTTACATTATGTGAAAGTTATGGCGAGAGTTAAAAAGGTGACCACCATGATGTTAAAGTCGACAATGAAAAATTAAAAAAAATAAATTTCTTAAAAGGATATTGTTTTTAATATCCTCGGATTTACTACGTACTTACCACTGAAAAGCATTGTAATGAAAGTAAACCATGCCCAAGCCATATAAAAACGCAGCATTCTGGGAGGAAAAAAAAGAAAAAAAGATTATCAATATAAATCTAAACAAGTACATATTAACAGTCACTTGATGATATCAGTAAACTTGACAGATGAAAATATGCATTTTTGCCAATACTTTATTTTCATAAGCATAGACCAGGTAGCTCTTCTTGCTTTTGATAGGAATACACAGATATTATTTAAATTATATTCCTTATTTAGAATAAATGGTAAATTGTAAAAAAAAAAAAAAAAAAAAACATTTTTAATTAAATGTGCAGTACTTGCCACTTGGAACATCAAATAAAATAAACAGGAATCAAACTTCTTTGAAAACACGAACTAATGCTCAATACACCAGCTGAAGCACAGAAAACATAAGTACCGTAGTTTCCAGGACTATATGTCACTCCAGAGTTTAAGTCACAATAGCCAAAAAAAAATGTATAGTGAAGGAGAAAAAAAAAACACTCACTCCAGGGTACAAGTCTAGTAGCTGTCAGTGTGAACGTTACAAACTTTTTAAATACTGGTAAACACTGGTAAATACTGGTAAACGAGCCGAGAGTGCCCTCTAGCGGCTGTCAGTGTGAAAATAACAATCATGAAATTATATATTTTAATCTATAAGTCCCACCTGGGGACAGGTTTCAGGTTCACAAATGTAACATCGTATTGGAATTTTCATATTTTCCTTCAATTATTGCAATGATGTTTTCTTTTTCAGTACAACAACACAACACAACAACTTTCACTTTAGTTTTTGCATCCTCTGAGGCAACCTAGCAGTATAAGGATGGGCTGGAGTGATCAGTGGATAGTTGTTTTAATCTCTGCAAAAAAAAAAATTCTGATTTGTGTAAAAATATTTGGCCGAGCAGTTTAAAAAAAATTCCTAGCGGAAACAGAGTCACTTATGTGGTGTTTTTAACTCACCTTCCAGTGGTCAGGCTCCAGACTGAAGTACTTCTGGTACGCAGATAATGCTTTAAAAAGTACACACAAAAAAAAGTCTTAGTAAAGATAATAAAGGCACGATGCATATCAATTAGGAATGAATAATATGAGATATGATGAATATCATTGGCAAATAACACATACATTTTTAATATTCAGATCAAGCAAATCAACTGTGACTAGACCAGGATTTGAGAGTCTAGTTGAAACCTGACTTACAATATAAGGTAACATCAAGGAATTATTTTTCTGATATTGCTATTGCAAAACTGTATGTAACTAAATGAATTAATTTGTTATTTATTTAAAGACTTTTCACAAACGTTGTATTCATTGTGCATGGTAAGTTTCAGATTTATTCAATTGAAAATCGTAAACGTGAAACTATGCATTTTCCCCGCGTACCACTAGAGAGCGCTCGCGTACCACCATACACAGTTTGACAACCACTGGTTTAGTGTATGGTGTTTTTTTATGGGGAGTTTTCCACATATTAGACAGGTAAATAAACATTTTATTTTTTGATACTTTAAATATAGAAATATCTAGTCATGAGTGCTCTACTTGTCACAAGTATTAAGAAAGTTTTTTGGGTTTTTTTGTTGTTATTTTTTGCTTTATTACTACACAAATGCATTTAAAGTTTTATCTTGGGGTAGCATTACCAAATCTGGCTGCAGTTGGAAAAGGTTCTTGGGAGAATGCTGTCTTACCTTTATGATAGTCCTTTAGTAGGAGGTGAAAGTGAGCCAGCTGACAGAAAACATCAGGCTCCACTTTGCCCTCAGCTTTAAGGATGAGAGCTTCGTAGCAGTTAACAGCCTGTGGTTAAAAAAAAAAAAAAAATAAAGCAAATGAAGCGGTAATGGCACTAATTAGATGCCCAATATTTTTCTCATTAATTAGATTGAGGGTAATAAAATAAACAAACTGCAAAAGCATTACCCTTTGAAAAGACATTTCGGACAGTCATCCTCTCATGCCATGTTCCACATAGCTTGCAGACAAACTCACAAAATGCACAAAAGTAGTACAGTACTCCCGAGCTTGTATTATTGTTGTTTAAAGCAGGGAGGTATTAGCCTGGTTCCCGTTCAGGCTGTAGTTTCAGTTTCAACTGAGCAAAACTGGACGCCAAATTGCAGTATGCATTATCCCATGTGACTTTCTTTAAATAAAATAAAATAAAATAAAAAAAAAAAAAAAGGTCAAAAGAATTTTTGAGGCTGACTGTGTCATATATTATTCTAAGGTCAGAACAACCAGACTCATTCTCATCATTAATTATTTATGAAATGTTCTTTTGTGAATATTTTGTGCATACTTCAGCGCCACCATGATTGTAATGAAAGAATAAAAATTCAACTCTGGCCCTAAATATGTAGTGAAAAATATCTTCCTTCCTTCCTTCTGTCTGCTTTGATTATAAATGTGCTGAACAGTCCCAGTAGATCACTACATTCTTAAACACTCAGCCTGTCTGGCACCAAGCACCACGCCCATTCAAAGTCACTTAAATCACGTTATTTCTGGTTCTCCTGTGCGATGTGAACTTCAGAGGCTTTTCTTCACCATGTCCATAAATCTGGACACAGCAGAGCTGCTGACATGCTGCAGGGTGATTTGATATTTTGTTGACTAATAGAAAAACAGGTGAACAACAGCCGTAGATGGAAACTCAGACTCAGTGGTTTGTGCTGCCACTGTCATGCCTACTAATGTACCCTAAATTATCTATACTTTATCAAGTGCTGAAAAAAATTCTCTGAACAACCAGGAAGGGATTCTTCTCCAATAACTACGTGGACATGCAACAATGCCAATGCCCATGACACTTTCTCAAAGACTATTGTAGTAGTTATTAAATTCCTGGTCTAATTCGTACCCATTTGCACTTATCCCTGAAATTGAACCACCCATGGCTATTGGTAGTAGTTTCTGTGATGGAAGCACACATAGCTCCCAGTAGTTGCCTGTTACTGATAATTTTTTCTGGGATTTAGGCAGGACAATGGCACCTGGTCCTCCAGACTGTCATAAGTAACTCATACTTGCCCCAATAATTTAGTAAGTGCTTGGAACCAATCACTTGCAAGAGATATATATATTTAATTATAACGACTGTGAACGATATAATCGGACATGTACGCATTATAAAGTCCTACAAATATATATGAATGCATTCTCAATACAAGCATCTTTGTTGTTATTTATTGTAACTTATTTTTATTATTATTCTCTATTTATTTTTATTCTCTTTGAACTTTTGTTAATGTCAATTCCCGATATTAGTGTCAGCAGAAGTTAGTGGGGTGGTGCGTTCACGGTCACTGCAGCCGCTCCATCTTTACAGTCAACCTAACGTGAGGTTTGTTTCACTTGTATACAAAGTAATAAAAAACAGCAGACTAGTCTTTCACCTTTAACAGCAAGGCCTTCGTTCTGGCGCCATCTTCTTGAAGCCTGTGAAATCCAAATAGTGAACTGCAAATAGAGGACACAACACAGGCGGTTCCGTGTTAGTGAAGCAGGAGGATGGGAGTCAGCCGTCGCTATTTTGTTTTTAAGTGCGTCAGACTACATTAAAATCAGACACTGTCGAAAACAGACGGAGTGTAGGATCCAATGGTTCGTCTAACCTGTCCACGCCGACCAGTTGTTCCCTCTCCAGCGACGTTAGCTTCGGAAAGTCCTCCTCAGTTTCAGTAGCTTTAGCCGACGCCATTTTCCTCTCGTCATTAGCAGCGGCTGTAGCACCGGGGCTCTGGGCAGTTGCAGAAGCGGTCGCGACGGCGGGCGATTTCATGGAGGAGACGTGAAGACAGCAGAGAAGGAACTCCGACAAACACGCTGCGAGAAACAGAAGTGTCGCGCAACTCCAGGACTAAAACGGGGTGTTGCGGCGCACTACTTTAGCCAAATTTTGAAGGAAATTATTCCTTCAAATTGCCGTTTGCAAGCTTCATTGTACAGAAACAAGCGGGTCCAGAGCCAGTGTTTGCATGGAGCTGATATGGGGGTGTTATTTTTGCTTAAAGGAGTGAGCCGGGTTTTTTTAACATAACAAAAGTTCAGCAGAACCTGCGGCTCAAAGTTGTTGAAATAGTGTATCACACTGAAGCGAACACACGCCGCCACCGTGGACACGCCTCTTGTTGCTAGTCCACTAATGATGTGCGCCGCTCCACAGTCACGTGAGCATCAGTGCTTGACGGGTTGCGCACAAGCGGACGAACACACGCAAACACAATTCACCGCCCTATACTTTAAGCCCTATACCATCGCAGAGATGGGTTTCTCATTCAGTAGTGTAATTACGTAAATATTTGCAGCGTTGCAGAATGCACAGTAGAGATTGATAGATAGAGCTCAGAATTAATAATAAAATTAGGAGCTTCTAAATATTTACAATCATAGAGTTGTACATAGATTTATATATATAGTATTATTATATATTTACAAAGTACATTTCTTTTTTTTATCTAATTTATACATTTACGTATTTTACCTGCACGTGTTTCGTCTTTCCTCTGTGTTTTGACGTACAGAGTTCATGTAAATTAGATTGCGTGTGACGTCGGGTGTCATCTGCGGGCAGTTGAGGACAGACAGCAGGAGATTCCAAAATGGCTACTCGTGACAAGGGTAAGCGTTAGCTTTAGCATCGATATTAGCGTAAGCGTCCGCAGTGCGGGCTAGTAAACGAAATTCATAATCTTTAATATTGTCACCGCCCGTTGTGGAAGATATGCGAGCAACCTGTACTATTTTCATAACCTAGATCTACTACGTTCCCATGTCGAAAGTGCACTTTAAAATAGCGTTCCCAGCCAACTTCTTCACGACGCAGTTAGCTATAACTTGTTCAGATGATGCAAACTTGCATTGATGAACTAATTTAATGCTTCAGTTGTGCGTTTCAGCCCTGCATAACCTGTCGTTTTCAAACATCACGTTTATGTTCATTCATTACTACAAAGGCCCGAATAAGAATTTACTTTGATTCATTTTAGAAATGGATAAAATGGGTGTCATCGTTGGCGCTATTACAAATTGTGCTTCTCGGAGTTTGCTGCACTGAGAGCCATTTTAGGTTTTATTACGACCGTGGAAGTTTTAATCTAAAATGCAAAGGTGTGGAAAGAAAACTTTTGAAAAGTAATGAACATATGGCAATTGGGAGAAACTAAGAGGTGACTCCGACTCCGCCCATTAGGCGAGTCAACTGTCATTGAGTGAGTGCATACTTATATTTACCTTAGATTTTGAGTGGCCAAATGACCAAATTTGCTATTTTTTCAATCAAACATGCAGAAACGTCATGCGTGACCAGGGCTCAAGTCTGGGCTTGAGTTGGTGATGTTTTTGCTGTAAAGTGAGAGTGCTATACATCCTTTCACTATGTGTGTCTGATGTTAGGGTTAAGGAATTAAGTTCACTTTGTTGTTCTTGTTAACTGTGTTCTTGTTAAAGTTGAGGAGGAGATATACGACAAGGTTGTGGACCTGACAGAGTATGCCAAACGTCAACGATGGTGGAACCGTGTATTTGGAAATAACTCCGGGCCAGTAGCTGAGAAATATTCTGTTGCCACGCAGATAGCCATCGGTGGTGCAAGTGGATGGTAAAGATTCAAGCCTTAGTATGTCAATGTGCCTCCAAGGGTCTCTGTTTTCAATCTGTGTTGACCAAAGCCATTTTTAACCTTTTTCACATACAATCATTTATGTGGCAAATTAAATAGTTCAGATCATCCTGGTTTCTATATTTGTTTTAGGTGTGCAGGATATCTCTTTCAGAAAGTTGGAAAATTGGCTGCTACGGCAGTGGGAGGAGGTCTGCTGTTGCTACAGGTCTTTATGCAACACAGAACAAAATCAATCTGATTACAATTCTGATCTGATTTGCAATATTTTTTTTTCATATTCTTTGTTTTGTTTTTTTCAGATTGCAAACAACACCGGTTACATCCAAGTGGACTGGAAGAGAGTAGAAAAGGATGTAAACAAAGCGAAGAAACAATTAAAGAAAGGCGCAAATCAAGCAGGTCCAGAGCTGAACTCATTTGTAGACAAGGTGAGCCCTAATGTTTTGCCTAAAGTTTATTTCCATTTCCTAACACAGGAACATTGTTTTGGTTCACTTAAATACATAGTATTAAGTATTTAATTAAAGTGGAAAAAGTTGAACCATGCAGTTTTGTTGAATTATAATGGCTTTTTTTTTACTATGTATACATTATTGGACCCAATGCTATCCAGTGTTTTAATAAAACTCCTAAAAAATGCTCAATTACCGAATACGTGCTCAGTTTACCAGCACAGTGGTTAGATAAGGCACCACTCTGTTTGTGAACATTGCTTGTGTTAATTGTTGCTTTTTCTATATTAAAATAGTTATTAATAGTTGTCTGCTGGAAATAACTTATAAATACAGTGAACTACTTGTCACAATGATTGAAGGTACCTTTAAACCATTACTAATTTCCCTTTTTTTTTTTTGTTCTTCAGTCCACAGAATTTGTGAAGAAAAATATTGTCGTCACAAGTGGTTTCATCGGCGGCTTCCTGCTTGGCCTGGCCTCTTAGAACCTGACAAAGAGAATAAAGAGAATTTTTCTTAATTTATCGCTGTCAAGAATAACAGTATGATTTGCTGCGGAATGGTTTTAAAATGTTTGGCAGCAGAAAGTAAAGGCTTGTCAGAAATGAGCTCATCATTTTGTGTTACTACAGGAAACTGCACATTGTATTTTTTTAGATTGCCTCTCATTGTCTTTAAATAAAATAAGACATGACTTTATTAACCCAACTCTGGGGAAAGTCACATAGTGAAATATACAAAATCAATATATTTAAAAAAGTTATTCATTCACTATGACCAAAGTTATATTGTTCCTAAACAGAAAATAAGCGTTCACTGACTTTTTTTTTTTGTGATGCCAAATACAAATCTCATTTTTAAAAAATGATATTAAGGTGAATACTGTGGTATCATTTTTGTTTTGAATCACTGCAAGGCTTGAATGTGATACTGTTTTTCTCAAGTGCTGATGTTTTGATGGATTGAGTGTCTTTTCTTTGACATATTTTTTTAAGGTATTTAGTCTGGCTGTCAGTTAAAATATCAGACATTTGTGAGATGTTTTTTGCCCGTTTGCTGAAAATATACAAAATAAAGAAATATAATCTTGATGTTTTTTGTTTCAGAATGATTTTTTTTTTGCATGAGGTTTGATTATTGTAGTTTGTATCAACTAAAATTAAAATTGATTCATATTTTTTAAACAATGTAAGTTTCCGCTTGCTATTGTTTAAATTTTGAAATTATTTATTTTTTATCATTTATTTAAATCGTCACCGTCGCTGTCACCGTTGCTAGGTGACGGGACAACTCACAACGTGTTACCATGGTAACCAAACGTGAGTTAAGTTAAATATTCAAACAGAAGAACTGTCGTACTGGAACTTAAACTACTCCGCGTTATGTCTTTGCCGCTTTTACTTGGACATTCCGCAAACAAACGTGTAAGTTTATATTTAAATTGATGTCCTGCTGCGTTTTGAATTTAAAGCTAAATTTGTAGCTTCGCGAGGCACTGAGGCTAAATTGTGGGCGTTTATAATTAGACGAACAGGCTAGCTCAAGCTGTGCATTATTTTAGTTAAAATCTAACAAAAATATAATTAATATTATAATATGTCCTTTTATTTATGCTTTACATGCATCTCGGAATTAAATGAATAATTACTGCTTTATATGGCTAAGTAGTGTTTAGCTAACACTCAGAGCAACATAAAGTAATTGATGTTTTCATCGTTAATAGTGACGTAATTTGTCAACTTTGACCTTTGACGCTTTGTATCTCATTCTTTCTTTCCCTTTCTCTGTGTCTCTCTTCCTCCCTTTCTCTCTTGTCTTCCTCTACTTCTCAGTTGGGGAAGGACAAGTTCCATAAGTCCCAGCACTTTGACGTCCATAATGGTATTCCCCTATTGGTGGGGGCAGAGAAGCCCGGAATTGGGGGAGAGCTTCTGATTGGTCAGAAGATTAAACCCAAATATTCAGTCTATCCGGACGGACAAGGCGCTGCTCTACCTTCCTGGGTCGCCTTCGATAAACAGGTAAACGCACCTTAAACCGCAGTTTAAAAAAATTTCAATTCTCCTTGCTGCCGCGTTCACCTGAGCTAACGTTATCCATCTCTGACGCAACCTTCTCTTTTTGTGCCCAAGGTTTTGAAGTTCGACGCATACTTTGAGGAGGATGTCCCTCAAAATCGCCATGAAACGCGGCGTGTCAGAAAGTGTCAAATCTTCTTTTACCCTGAAGATGACACCATAAAGGTGGTAGAGCCTGAGCTTAAGAACAGTGGCATCCCGCAAGGTGTGTGATTTCACAGGCAGTGGATCAATGATGGGCCGGGGCTGTGCTTTGTCCTTGGGACAAAATTTTTAAATTCTCTGAGGGGGACTTTAAATAAAAAAAAAACAACTTTTTATTAGTACTACTAAAATATTAATAATGTTTTTTTTGTTGTTGCTGTTTTTTCAAAATCACAGTGAAAGGGATATTTAAAACCCCAACGACCCAGTGAAAAGGAAAATGCGTCATCTTTCCTTTTCTTTGCGTTGTTGTTACAGGAACACTTATTCGGCGCCACCGCATCCCGCTGCCCCCTCCTGACGACGACCAGTTTTACAATGTTTTTCATTTTAACATAAACCAGCAGATGGTGCTCTATTCCAGAACCTTTACCATCACCAGCTGTGACCCGTTCACCAGGAACTTTATCACCAGACTTGGTGTGATTCTCAATGAACCTTCAACTGTTCCTGACGATCCCTACACTCGGCACCGCCAGCAGGTCAAAGGAACGAATTTATTCATTTATCGGGTCTATAAAAACGAATATATATTTTTTTTTTATAATTGACCACCTATAAAGAAAAGTTTGACAATTTCAGTCTCCATAAAACAAACCTGGGAATCAGATATTAGCAACTCATGAGTCATTTATTTTAAAACAAAATTAGAACAGAATATATATTGAAACATTCATTCTTAATATATATATATATTTATATATATATATACTGTATATTTGGTGTGCAACAATACATGTATCTGTATTAAACAGTGCGCTATGAATCGAGCAATATGCAATTTTATATTTATTTTATTTCTACTGTTTTTGTTTTATATAGTATGTATATATTTATATATTTATATATATATATAAATAAATATATATACAGTGTATATATATCTAATATTTTTATTTTTCCGATGCAGATTGAAGACAGCATGAATCCATTGCATCCGTACGAGAGACATGACACGCTGAAGCAGTTCCTGCTCCATGACCGTCACATCCTGCGTTTCTTCTGTCTGTGGGACGACACCGAGAGCAAGTCGAATGACCGACGGGAGCTGGTGCTGCACTACTTCCTCTCCGATGACACCATCGAGATCAGGGAGGTTTTTCCGCCAAACTCGGGACGAGACAACGTGTCCAAGTTCCTGCGACGCTGCAAATTGCCAAAGGTGAGGCCCAGAATAAAAAAATAAATAAAAAAATAAAAAAAAGCTGAAAGCGGCTGAGACTCTGAAACATGGAATATCAAAAGGGGAAATATTGGAAAAAAAAATTTTTTACATGGACAAACATAATCAATAATCAAAATACCATATGTCTGAAATAATAAAAAAAAATAAAATAAAATAATTAAATGAGAAAAATTAATTCATGTTGGTTTGATTGTTTTTGCAAGAAAACTCATGTCCAGATGAAGCAGCCTGGGGAGATCACAGACCGAACTGTCCTCAACGTCCTAGAGTCCAAACGCCGGGGACAAAGATACCTTCTGGATAGTCATAAGGTAAGTAAAGCCGTCTCACACACACACACACACACACACAGTGTGTGTGTTTTGAGTTTCATTGTTTTTTACAACCCAATTTCCGTGGAACTAATATGTTGAAAATGTTTTGATTTGATTTTTTAAAACCAACAAAAACAGATCTGATTACGACGGATAAGTACAATTAACTTTTTCTTTTTTTTTTTTGCAAAATCACTGAATGATTAATGAAGAAGATGTTGATTTCTGTAGAACACGAGAACAAGAGTGGAATTATTACAAGTTGCTGCCAATTGTTATTTGACAAATAAAGTTCGGAGGCCTCCGACTGGTCTGTCGCAGGGATATTACAGTATTTTTTAAAACATTTTTTTTTAAATTTATTTTTGCGTTTTTTGATTTGTATTCTTTCTTTAGCGGACACCACGCTCGCATTTATCGACAATTTCATGCTTTATTTCCATGGTCATCATGCGTTTCGTCTTCTCACTACCATCCTTACCACTCACTTTCTTAGGACTCGTCACATATTATGGAAGATTGCTCGGCCACCTAGCGTCGGCGTCTGTAAGCGTGCTTGTATCGCGAGTTTATGCTCGTATCTCAAAGCGAAATTTTGCTCGGTGGGTTTGCTCGTATCTCGAAATGCTCGTATCTCGAGGTTTCCACTGTATCGCTGCTTTGTCTTTTCAGACTGGGGCTGTGCATGAGGAATTTTATCAGGACCGTGATCTGACCGTAGGGGGCGACGTGAACGTGTTTGGGAGGAGAATGATCATTGTGGACTGTGACCAATTCACCAAAGACTATTATCGCTCCAAATATGGAATTGGTAAATCCTAGATTTCTAGAACTTTACTCATGCACTCTCTCTCATCTGTGGTTCGTGTCGGGTCTTCTCTGAACACTGGAGGGCCGGGATCAAACACTTAATCTGTCTGATTGAGGCAGCAGTTGAGTTCATACAGGCAAAACCTGACTCTGCTTGGGCTAAAAACATATTTTTTTTATATATCTAACTCCAAAAAATTTTTTTTTTGAATTCTAGATGAAATCTGATACATTGTGTCCATTGACATAGCTAACATAACTAACATAGCTAACATAGCTAACATAGCTAACACACAGGAACTGCTTTTCTCTGAATCCTACAATTTCCTAAAGTGTATTTCTTTTTCTTTTACAGAGGATTTTACTCTAGCGCCGTACAAAACACCAGAGGCACCGCAGGTCCCCAGACTCCCACCCCCATATAATGGCTTTGGGTCAGAGGAAGACTCCCTGAGATCCTGTCAGGGTCTGCTGCCCAAAGCCCTGCAAAAGGATTTCCGCAAATTCATGGAGAAAGACAGGTTTGAAACATCACCTCATCTCGTGTCCTCTTGGTGTCCGTCCAAAGTCCTGATAAATCAGTGAGGCATTTGTCAGGAAGGGCATCCAGCATAAAACAAAATCATGTGAAAAATCAAAAATGACATAGTTGTGGTTCTGTGCATATGCACCACAAGTTAGAGCTGCGTCACCCAATTTGAATCCAAAAAAAAAAAACTCCAGAAAAAAGATGGTGAGATGGTCATCCCTCATAAGTTACTAGCTCAGACATGGGCAAACTATGGCCCGGGGGCCGGATTCGGGTCCTTTGGCTTATCCAATTTATATTGATATTAATTTCTATTTATCACTATATTTCTCCCTTTCCCTTGCAATGCTTATTTTCCCCAGTAGATGGCATAGAATAGCAAAGGTGGGACCAAGTCATTGCTTTGCAAGTCACAAGTAAGTCTCAAGTCTTTGCACTCAAGTCCGAGTCAAGTCTCAAGTCAAGACAGGCCAAGTCCGAGTCGAGTCCAAGTCAGAACTGAAAAGCGTCAAGTCGAGTCCCAAGTCCTTACGTGTCCGTTTCGAGTCCTTTTAAATAAAATAATAATATATTTACACAGATCACTTTGGGTTTTGGAGAAAGTATCGAGTCTTGTCGAGTCAAAGGGCCCGAGGCCAAGTGAAGTCACGAGTCACTGATGTTAAAGTCCAAGTCGAGTTGCAAGTCTCTTTTACATTTTGTCAAGTCGAGTCCAAAGTCATCAAATTGACGACTCGAGTCTGACTCGAGTCCAAGTCATGCGACTCGAGTCCACACCTCTGTAGAATAGACTAAAACATTTCAGCATTTCAGCCTTTACTGACTGACTTTCACATGTCATTTGTTTTAGTTTATACCAACGCTCCCTCTTTCTCCCCCTGACCCGGCCCCCCCCCCCCGTCAAATTTTTGGCCCGCGAGTCAGAAAGTTTGCCCACGCCTGAACTGGCTTCTCCGCACTTCCAAATGCTGTGGTATTGTTCCCTTCTGCTCCTAACATTATGTCTCACTCTCACATTAGTCACTGAACTATTTCAGGCTGCCCACCCGGTGCCTCTCGCTGCTGGCGTGTTCACTTCCTAATTAGGCAGATTGCCCCCTGCTGGTTGGCTGACTATTGGTTGAGAAAGCGTTGATTTCAGGACACCATCTATTAGAAAAAAAGCAGCTAAGAAAGGTTTTAGGGGAAGGTTGTAGTTAGCTTGAACATCGCTAAACATTCGACTAGCTAGGTTGAATAACTAAACTGCAAAGGTATTGCTATTGCATTCACTTCAGTTTTCCGTGTTGTCATTCAATTAGAAGTGGCCTGGAGAGCAACATTCTAAACTTTCAGTCTAAGATGGTGACAGACGATCCAGTGGACAGAGAGCGAGTTTTCATCATCTCCTTCTACCTCAGCGATGACACCGTCAGTGTCTTTGAACGTCCGCAGAAAAACTCAGGTAAAAAAAAAAAAAAATCCTAAAAGAACTGACCATGTTCAGAGTTGTTTGGTAAATGGATGTGCTTGAAAAAAAACAAAAAAAATCCTGAAAGAACTGACCATGTTCAGAGTTGTTTGGTAAATGGATGTGCTTGAAAAAAAACAAACAAATATCCTGACCACTTATACCATTTTAATCTTCTTTTCCCTCCGGCGGCTACGGTTGTGTTTGTGTTAAGTTAAAATTTAAGTTAAATAATTGGTTTTGAACATTTCTGATAAATCGTAATCGAATTTTCACGTGACGCGGCTAGTTTCGCATGTAGCATGGTAGTGTGAATGGATATGGGAGGCACAGCTTAGCGGATCCGGCACAACGACACAGCCTAAGGCGGAGTAGTCGAGCACAGATCCGCTGGGTTTTTCAGCCAAGAGTGCATCGTCAGAAGTTGAAGAATATAAAAAGCGTACCGGAGTGAGATCGGTGTATCGAACAATACGATACACATACATGCACCCCTAATAAATATATACACACATATATATACATAACAAGCTACTGTTTTTAGCTATTTCTCTGAAAATCTTTTGCCTAGTTTGTTTTATACCAGATTGGTCTAAAATTGAATCAAAAGTTTGTTTGTTTTTTTTTTCTCTTTCTCCTCTTTCCTATACCAGGTGTATTAGGAGGCAAGTTCCTGGAACGCGGTCGCGTAAAGAAACCGGGTCAAGAGGTGTTCAAGAGTGAACCGTCGGAGTACTTCAAAGCTCAAGACCTGTACGTCGGAGCTTCGCTGTGTCTCAACAGGCATCACTTTCTGCTGCTAGACGCCGATGAATACACTTTGAGTTACATGGAGCGACATGCTGAGGAGGTGAGGAAGCTGTACCGTGTTCACATGTAGGAGCTGCTTATATGTCGCTACTCGTAACTAGTCATTTTATACGGTTTCTTTTGTGTGTTTTTTCTAAAGTTTCCCAGATCCAATCTCGGAAACATCCTGAGTAAGATCAAATCGGTTCCAGAGGAGAAACAGAGTGAAATTAAGAAATTTCTGGCACTCAACGACCCAGACAACACCGGCGTCATTCCTTACTACACTCTAAGGTGCAGCACCTCCATTTATAATAGTAGAAATGCAATGATGAGGATGATGATTTACGAGTGTGTTCTAGACATTCTTTAAGAGCTAAAATAAGCAAAGTTGTTAAAGTTAGGCCATAAATTTGCAGAAATACCTAAACTGAGGACAGAGTAAAAAAGTAAAAAAGTAAAAAAAAAAAAAAGAGCTTTTTGTTCCAACCTATCCAGACCGAACTGATTGACCAATCGGAAGGCTTGATTAAATGAGCCGAGTCAGGTGTGCTACTGCTTGTTTGGAACAAAAAACCTGCAGCCACATCAGCTCTTTGGAACAGATTGGTCATCCCTGCCTTTACGGGAACGGAGATAATACAATTTTTTTTTTTAAATCTAAATACTACAGAAAATATAAACTGAAAGTAAGAAATAAAATAAAAATAGAAACTGTGTGTACAGGAGAAAAAATGGTGTCTTGTCTGTCTTGTGTCCACTGCAGGAGCCTGCTTAGAGGTCTTGACTGCGACCTCTCTGAACACGAGCTTCTGGTTCTGGGTCGGAGTTTTACCGAGAGTCGGTGTCCCGAAGAAGACGTGGGAACAATGTTGGCAACGGCTCAGGAGCTGCTCAGGAAGAAGCTGTTCGAACACTTCCATGAGATTAAGAGAGCGCTGGTGCACAGAGATCGATCGAGGTATGACACACACGGAAGGATTTACACACTCTCCAGTAGTAGTAACTGTATGAAATTCAAATGTTGACAACTAAGTCCATTAGCGCTGCTCGCATCAGGAATGACCTCCAGAAGCACAAGTTGACCTTCGGTAAAATCATGTCTTTTGGTGAATTTCAACGACTTGTCCTTTTAAAAGGAAACACAAATTGTAAAAGGAAAATATTGTAAATATAAAAAAAATCGTATTTACCGTAAAATATCGCGATATAGCGAAAATGACGTTAGATCAGATAAAAAAAAAAAAAATCTGCGATGCACTGAGGGAGCTAAAGGAGAACCGCGATATAGAGAGGGAACACTTTATACCTATGTCTCTGTAAATTAAAAAAAATTAATTTAAAAAAAATTAATTTAAAAAAAATTTATTTAAAAAAAATTTAAAAAATGTAAAAAAATTTCAAAAATTAAATTAAAAAAATTTAAATAAATTAAAAAATTAAAAAAAAATTAAATTAAAAAAATTGTCTATGTCAATTGTACAATGGTTGTGCAATAACAAAAAGAAAACATTTTGAGTTCTGTGCGTTGTGGCACCGATGCCCCCCAGCAAATTATACAGCCCATTCCACCACAACAACTCTGGCCAGTGGGGGGCGCTGTCATGTTTTTTTTTTTTTGTTTTTTTTTCATTTTGGGCCCTTGCAAATTGGGCCCTTGCGAATTGAAACACTATTGAGAACCTGATAACATGTAATATTTTTTATCTGTCCAAACCACTGTATGAGTTGCTGCCACCTAGTGACTAAAATAATAAATTATTATCCAGCCTTCAGGAGAGTCAGTGGAATTGTCCCAAATCTGTTTGCAAAAGTGAAGGCTCCGCGTAAAACCACACTCAAAATGACAATGCCACCAACCGTTTGCTTATTCAACCGTGTTCATTACTAGGAAATGTTTATCATCACTTTCATTAATGCCACAGGCAGTTAAAAAAACACCGTTCACGTCACTGGACATGTCAATAACCAACGTCACTCTGCCTCAGAAAATGCAGTCCATATGAAGAGAAAGTGGAAAACAGTTGTGGGGGGGGACGTTCTTTCTGTGACCACACACACACACACACAAGACACACCAACCCCATCCCCGGGATGCTTTCTTCTCTGTAGAATGTTTAATTGAAATGATTTACGTCTGGTTCTTTGCATGTTTTCCTCCTCCTCCTCCTCCTCCTCCTCCTCCTCCTCCTCACATTATTATCGTTAGTCATGAGGTTTGAACAGGTTTTAAAGCTGCTCGACAAATGTTTGATGTTTGATGTTCGGGCTAGTCTCAGCACAACAGGAATATATACGGGGATAAATCACGTCACATGGAGTTTGTATAGATTCGATTTTTTTTTTTTTTCAAAGCGCTGACAGCCCTGCGTTAAAATGATCTAAACTTTCCTCGTGGGATTTTTCTCACAGGGGAAAGCAGCTGTTATTCAACTCATTGAACTCATTTGGCTGTTTTTAAATAACAACAGACCTTAACAAACCATATAACACATTTTCCGCACTATAAGTCGCACTTTTCTCCATCCTTTGGCTGGGTTTGCGACTTATACCCGGGTGCGACTTATATATTAAAATATATAATTTCACAGACTTTTGTACCACTGAACACTTACATGTTTGTTAACTTCACACTGCTAGCCACTAGAGGGCACTGGTGCGACTTATACTCCCGAGTGACTTGTATATGTTTTGTTCTTTTTTTGCATTTTCTCATTTATTTCTTCATTTTGCTTTTTTTTTTTTTAAGCTGGTGCGACTTATAGTCCGGAAAATACGGTAGTAAGACGATTACTTATTTTGAGTTTGAAAGTCCTCCGTGGAGATATATTTATATTATGTGCCAACTTTTATTTATTGTATTTTTGTGAATATGGCTATAGTTCTACGTTCTGGATAGTTCTTGGCTACATCTGTGCTACATTTTTTTTACATACTATATTATAGAGGATTTCAAATCTTTCTCCCTTCATGCTGTTTGCGTTTTAATTTAATTTTTAAATTTGAAGACACCCGGCCGTCTTCATCAGTTCACGTTCTTCTTCCCCCTCTATTTGGAGACACCCGGCCGTCTACATCAGTTCACGTTCTTCTTCCCCCTCTGCATCCTCAGAAGTGGCCGTTTGTCCATGTCAGAGATGAGAACCCTTTGTAAATCCTGTCGCCTCCCCCTGCCGGACTCCCTGCTCTCGGCTCTGCTCCACAAGTAAGAACCTGACACTCGAAGGTCCCGCTGCTTTTCACTCATCGTTGAAAACGATTTCTCATGATTGTGAAGTTCACCTCTGATGTTTTGCCCGAATATGATCCTTGGCCTGTTTTTTATAAGCGAACAAGCGTTTGGTTTCAGCTGTACCAATGCGACCTGTTTCTGATTTAAACCTCGGTCTGGTATAGGTTTGCAGAGAGCGGCGAGGTCGACTACCAAGCCTTCATCGCTGGCATTAACTGGTTGGAAAACCCAGCTCCTCCAGTTACACCAGAACTCATCGCAAAGGTAGGAGACGGACGAACAGTAAATGAAGGACCAATTACGAAGTTTACAGATAAAAAAAAAATACATAAAATGTCTTTTTGTGAATGACAAAACATCATCACGTCTTTTTTATTTCTCAGTTCCTTGAAAGACGTTTTTCATTAAGGGCCCACACTGGGATTTCCATCCCAGCAAATAAAGGCCACAATAAGTGTCGTGTGATGAAAGAGGGATGATTTAGTTGTACGGATTAAGCATGTCATTGTTGATGTTTCTGTCACAAATTATTGGCACAACTTTTGGCTCACTATTTTTTTTTTTTTTGAGCCTGTTATTTATCTTTGTCTAATTTGAACCCCTGTTACGCACATTTGGGACGGCTTAGTCTGGTCTGGATGTGTCTCATTAACTCCTCCACAGTTTTGACTTTCGAATGATATTTTAGCACACGGTTCACCGCCTTCGCCGCGGGGCATTTTCGAAGTCACAAAATATCGAAGACCGAATAGGGATTTTGAGTAACACAAGCCTGTTTACTTTCTTTACCGGTGCCTACATGCGTTCAAATTTAACGTGCACACATGAAGAGGTCAAACAGGAAGGAAGGGTCTACTTAGTTTTTTTTTTTTTTTGGAAGACTGTGAATTAACGTGTAAGCAGAAACAGGTGAACGGGAGACAGTGTGTGTGTTTGTGTTTTTAGTTGCTCACTAGTCCAAGCTTCCTTCCTTCTTCTACTGTTTCAAAGCTGGAGAGCTTGACCAACACGTTTAGCAAGTTATTAAAATGTTAGTCAGGGGCCAATATTTATGTCAGGAGCTACTGTTAGATCACAGAGGGGCTACTGGCAGCCCATGAGCAATAAAAATATATATATAAATATATATAAATATATATATACATATATATAAATATATATATATGTATATATATATGTATATTTTTTCATTTTTTATTAAATAAATACTTATTTTCCGAACAGTGCCTGTAACACGGCCGGTTACACGTTACACTCCCGTCACTTTGTGCTTGTTCGCAGCACAGGTAAACAGAAACAGGGAAGTTGGGGTCTTTATTATCAGCCACACCGTAAAAAGTGTGTGAAAAAAGTAGCGGCTTATAGTCTGGAAATTACGGTATATACATATATATATACAGTATATACATATATATATACAGTATAT